TGCAAAATCCACCTAATTAAGAATCCACAGCTTTGGATTTTTGCTTCAGCTATTTAAATCCAAAATAAAATATACGGTTGTTTTAATACAGTGTCTGCAAGACTGCTTGAACACAAGCCATTACTAAAGATACTCAGCTACCACCACATATTTTAGGTTTTTCTGTAAAGCTGACTGAGTAATTATCATTTTTGTATTTTTTTACAGCCAGTTAGCCATGGCACTGGGTTGAGTTGAAAAATATTTGAGTTGTAAATGTGCTTCTGATGATTATTTTCACAAGTTTTTTCTTTCAAATTTACCAGTGGGTCACGAGACATATTGCTAAAAGTCAGAGCAAAAAGTTACTGCCAACTTTCAGTGGCAGGAGATTAAAAAAACTACAACTTTGTTCTTCATCCCCTCCTCTCCCTTTACCTGGTGAATAGCAGCTGCACCATATCCACCAGTGTGTGCTCCGCAGACTTTCTAAGGAGTTCTGTGAACAGAGGAAAATAAACCTACATAAGAATCAAGTTTCAGAAAAAAAAGGAATGCATTTTTCTGTCGTAATAAATTATATTTCAGTGAAAAAGGTGTATGGAATGAAACAAACAAATATACGCATCAAATACGGCTTCATTGATTGCATTTATATCCCAGCTGTAAGACTGATCCAATCCAGATGTTTTAAACTGTAGGTTTACTGACATTGTGAAGTGAAAACAAAAAAACTAAAACTAAATAAATCACACAGACATGGTGTGACTTTAAATTTACCTGATTTAATTCACATGTACACATTTTGCCTTTCCAAAACAGAATTATGACACAATATTCAAATATTGTATTTATTATTTATTTATTATCAWATTAGAATAATATGTGATGGGTGCAGGACAAACTCACCACTGAGGCGCATCTCGAAGCAGATTCTGAAGCAGGACTGCATGATTTCACAGACGGACTCATTGGTCAGGTGGGCTCCAACCGGTGTCAGCAGCAGAGTCCTCAGGACCTGCAGCACAAACATGACACGTTATATAACAAGTTTCTGAGATGATGATATCAAAATCTGAAAACGTTAAAAATCCTTTGCAGGGAAATACTGCTATTGTTAAGTGTTTGACCATAAGTAGGAGACTGGTATTCCACGACCCAGTTTGGTCCAAGCTTCAGCTGTCAGATAGCCTCACATTTGACTCTTGAATACTTAATTCTACAGAAACTGCCCTAGTCATGTAGCCAAAAACAAACCTAAATCACCACTCCTCCACTACCGTGCTTGACAGTAGTTGGTATGATGTGTTTGCAATAATATGCGGTTTTTGCTTTTCTCCTAAGGTAAAGTTGTGCATTTTGGCCAAACATGTCAATTTTTTTATGTTGTTGTTTTTTTATTTATTTATTTATTTATCTATTTTTTATGTAGTATCATTTTGTAAACTATGTTTCATTTGATTATATTCTGGGGATAAAAGGGGCAGATATAATAAGATTTATTCTTCTTCTGCTACCTTTCATTTTATTTTGATTTGTGTATTTTCTTGTTTTTTTATTGTATATAGTTTTTTTTTTAATGAAATGAATGCATTTTTGAATTGAAAATATTTTGGTCTCATCTGACCAAAACCTATTTTTCAATTGTCTTGTTGGGCTGCTGGATTTATTTATAGTTGTGGTCAGAAGTTTACATTATAATATTATAATAATACGTTTTAATATAGGTCTATAATTTAATGACATTTATGTCACTGAATTTGAACTTCTCAATTGTACAGAGCAACAATTCACCACAAAATCTTGTCAGGACACTATACAAAAAGGTAATAGGTATAAAATCAGATGGCATGCAATTCAATTCAATCTAAAATAGATCCTAATTTAACACAATAACACAGTCAATTCAGTCCAATTATAATAGAGCTAAATTAAACATATTGCCAAATGGCAATTAGTACAAAGCATAACTAAGCCAACTGCATTAAATCTTCACTTTAATACAGAGGTCCCCAACCCTGCTTCAACACACCTGATTCAAATGACCAACACAGAATGTCATCAAATTTAGCAGAAGCCTGTCAAAATGACTCAATCGTTTCAGTCAGGTGTGTTGAAGTACAGGAAACATGTACAATATGCAGGACAWTGGTCCACAAGGACCAGGGTTGGGTACCTCTGCTTTAATCTTATTATGGAAAAGAACGACTCTTTTTTTCACAGGAAGAAATCTCCAGAACCAGGCAGAAGATGGACCACCACCTGCCTCGACCAGCTGCATGTTGTGCTTTACTACATAAACTGGAGCTTAAAAAAAAAAGAAAAAAAAAGCAAGCAGCTACGAATTATATAAATGCTGCACCTGCAGAATCTTCATTAGGACAACTTCATCGCTGGCAGGGTCTGTTCCCACAAATCTGGCATGTGTGACTGCGTCCGCCATGTTCTCAATGGCCTCTGCTGCAGCTTCATGGTTAGCATCTGCAAGTGGACAAGGAAACATGCTTGAAATATAAAACTGAAAAGATGAATGTCTGCTTTTAATTGTTGACATAATACGACGTGGTGATAGCATAGTATAAAGCGTTACAAATGTTTTTTTTACCTTTTTGTTTATATGTAAGACAGCAGATTATACAACTAAATGTATAGACAAAAACTGATTTTTTTCTATAATTATACTGATACAACAGAGTCTGTTTTAGGAAGTGTTAAAGCTTCTGCAACAACTAACAGCATTAGCTGACTTATCAATTAAGAATAGATTTTCAAAAGCTCAACACATAAATAAAATTAGACAAATCCAGCGTGGTGCATGCACACCATCCCTCAACCTGAGATCTGAGGACCAGATGTGGCCCTTTGTTGGAGGCAGGCTAGGACAAATTGGCTGCCAGAGCAACAGGAGCCGGTGTTTTTGAAACCGGAGAGGTTGCACAGCTATCTGCCTGGAGCCAGCCTGTTTTTCTTTCCCATCGCCCCCAAACGCCGCAATTCATTAACTAATAAGTAGAGGTGGATGGGGTCGAGTGGAGGAAGAGACAGAAAATGGGAGACAAAGATCGGGATTTTCCAAGTTAGGTTACAAAAAGGCTTCGTCACACGGAAAAAAAAGATTGGCAGCTCAGGGTTTAAAATGACACCCAACCTTTCTGATAACAGATAAGACTCCATTTAGGAAACAACTTATCACATGTTTAAAGCATTTCAGTAATTAGCAGCCARTGTTAACGGCTGGACTGCACATGGTATAACCATCAAAAGATGGATAAATATTGATGYCATTAAGTCAGAGTACAACTGTCATTCCTCCCTTAGAGGCAAAAACAAGTACAAAAGTTGTGATGAAAACTTCAATAATCTAAAGTGACGCCACGGGGAGATCCAGCAGAAAGTCAGAAGTGATATAAAACACTAATCCTTCTTTTGGCGCAGAGTCTATACAAATGGTGTCCAAAGGAGGGGCATGGGGAAAGGTGGTGGGGAAGTCGGGGGGGCATTGTTAAAATAACACAGAGGAAAAGGAGAGGCTCAGTGTGTGTGACCGCCTGAGGGTATGTGGGTAAAGTCAACAGGGCGTTGAACCAGCTGCCACATGAAGCAGTTTTAACTTTGGCCACTAAATATAAAAAAGAAGAAGAAAATCAAAGAGTGAGAGGGAGAAGGAATGCTATTGGTTTGTTTAAAAGTGAGCACAAAAACTCCCTGCACAACGGCSCATACACATCTGTAGAAGCCAAACAATGGGACTGAAGGTTTGTTGTATGTAATGGAAGAAGTTAAATGGATGAGTTCACCTGCTCGTCCTCTAAATAGCTCAAAGACCAATCATCGACCAGAATGGGCTGTTGTGCTCGTAGTCAGAAAGACTGCATGTTAGCATTAGCTCTTATTCCCATTTCTACTCTTTTTCTGGGTCAGAGTGACGAAGCAAGCAGAGCTCATTTTACAGTAAGTTAGTGTTTGTCTATTAAACATGTAGGGTACATGTCTAAAACTCAGAAAATGAATTAAAGCTTTCCTGGTACGGTTGTCCTCTTTTTTGAAGGTAACAGTGCAGCAGATTGTTCCTCTTTTCAGTATCATCTCCAAAAATAAAAATACCATCAACTCTCAAAAGAAGGTAAAGACTTACTCAAACGGAGCCGGTCTTTGGAGTACTAAACGTTTTCATTGTTGTTGTTTGGAATGTCTAAAAAGAAATTTTTCTACCTGGGTTGAGATGCATCACGATGTTGTTTGGGATGAGATTAAAATAATGCAGATCAAACCTGACTCAACTCCAAGTACATGGAAGAAAACTGCCTGTTGCTGCTTTTCAGAGCAGATTCAGAGAGCGGTGACTGTGTTGCAACACATACACACAGAGAACAACAAAACTCACTCATACAGTAATCCCTTTATATGTAGATGACACTAACTACTTGAAAAAAAAATCAAAGTCAATCTAAAGCTACATAAAGTTGAATTAAACTGAAATTGAATATTTACAACTTCTTAGATTCATTTTAATTTTCTCCAGCCAGCAGATGGCAGTACTTTACAGGACCGGTGCTCTTTATACTCTTCTATCCTGTCATATAAGCTCAGTTTACCTGGAAATAATCAGTTATTTTCTAACATTTTATGACTTTAGAATAAATTATGACTTATGACAATAATATAGTATTTGTGGTTACTGCATATGAACGTGACATGCACTATACTCCCTAACAAAAGGCAGCCACAACTCCTGAAACATTTTCATAAACGCAATACAATTGTATTTAAAAGGTGAAAAGTCTTTCCAAATCCCATTTCAAAAGTCATCTTTTAGCTAAAATAAATAAAAAAGAAAAACACTTAATCATAAGAGGGAAAAATGTAATCGCCTTGTAAAATTTCCCTTGTAAAGTAAAAACCTGTACAAATCTAAATACACAAATGAGGAAACAAACAAGTAGATCTAGGATTAAAGAACAAGGACAGAAAACTGAAAGCAATACACTGAAAAAAGAAAACAATCAAGAACAGAAAAGACAAATAAAAGCAAAAATAGAAATCAATGTTTGTGAGTCAACTGTTGTGTTACATAGATAGAGCTTTTAGAGTCTTTCTTCATGTGCCCCTAAAGACCTCACCAAGACCCTACAAAAACCATCCACATAGATTCTGGCAGCTGCTTCTTTATGTGGAAGTGATGTCATTATCCATTGTGAAGTGGGCCTAAGTGACTCAGTTTCAGGTGTGAATATATAAAACATCAGCTGCTCTTAACACCGACAACACTTCAAACAAGTTTTTAAATCATAACGCTATTCTAACATTATTTCTTATCTATTATCACTGGAGAAAAAGGCTGAAAAATGCATCCACATTCAATGTAATGTTCTTACCAGGGAACAATGTTGTACTTGTGTAATTTTAGGCCCGTTTTTGTTTAGTGATAGCTGCAGCTGTTCGGAAAGTTTTGCAACATTAACTCAAACCTTCACTATGTAACTAACGTCTGGTGATGTACGCTCATTTCACACTTAAAACAACCAGCAGAATCTGTCATGTTTCAGTGATGAGACTGCAGGCAGCCCTCACTACCTTACTAACCTTAACCTAACTAACCTTAACTATCCTTACTAACTTACAAACTAGACCAAAGCATTGCTGACACTCCAGGAAAGACCTGRCGAAAAAGCAACATAATTAAACAATGTGTCACACAATGGAATTAAAGTCATAGGCAGGGTACACCTTGAATATTTTACAAGTCCATCACAGGGCCACATTAAGACAAATGAGAAACAATTCACACTGACCGAAGGCCCTGTCACATTATGTTTTACACAACTTGTGCCAACTTATAAAACCTTTTTCCAACACTAAAGATGTCTACACTRAAGATGGAACAAAACAAAAACTACTGGAAGCCTCATACATACTGTAATGTTAACAATTAGATCAAACACATAACCTATACGAGTCATTTATAGCAAAACTAAGTCAGCATAAGTTGTCTAAAATGTTATAGTGTGACAGCGCCTCAACACCTAGAGACAATTTAGTTACCAATTAATGTAAAATGTGTGTAATCCATTGTTCATTTACTCTGAGCAATAACAGAGCAAAGAAAGAATCCTAATGTTACTTTCTCTACTTTTTCCCCTCCCCCATCTGTGTTCTCTTGGACATCAATGATACATTTTTGACCACTTCATTCAGTCAGCTAGTATACTGAGGTTATTCTACTGACGTTCTTTTACCTTTTCTGTCCATCCATTCCTTTTGTTTGTACTAATACATTGGTTGGATCAGAGGAGGGAAGCCCGTTCCCTAGAGACATTTTCCAGCTACTCCTRCAGAATCCCAAAGCATTCCTTGGACACAGAGGATATATATTACCTCCAGTGAATAGTGGTTCTGATTACGGGTCTCCAACCAGTGGGATGTGCCCAAAAAATCTCCAGAGGGAGGTGTCCAAGAGGCTTCCTAATCAGATGCTTTAACCAACTGAACCCCCTCAACTAATTTCTGTTGATGCAGAGGAATAGAGGTTCTAATCTGGAAAGCCCCTGGATAATGGCGCCTCGTCTCTATGACTAACTCCATGTTCACAATGCTGGTCTTAATGCTCAATTCCGACTTGGTGCTCAAATCTTTTTTTTTTTTTTTTTTGCATGTTCATTAACATTATATTTTACATGCAATCTCCATCAAAGTGGTTTAAATTCCAATGTTTACATTTGACCCTGCCTCTTGCCGGCTAGTCCAGAAGCAATGTGCTGAAAGTGAAACTAACTAATTATTAAATCAAGAAAGGAGATAAACAAAAATACACTTACAATGAAATGTGAACATTCAGAAATGTGCTGTGACCAAACTATTTAAAATTCTGTGACACCTAAATTAGACTTGTTGAAGAAATTTAAAGTTATTAGAGGTTAGTACTGATGTTAAAAGCACAACACTATATTCGTAGGTTTTCCTTTTTGTAATGTTGACAGTGTTTAATCTATTATGTTTTGAATGAAATAAGTTCAGTTACATGTCCGAAATATGTGACAACACATAATCAAACGTTGTGATGACATAAGCTGAGGATTTTGTCTGAATGCCTGTGATTCAGCCGTAGGTCAGTAGGGCGCGAAAGCAGGCATTGAAGAAGGTGTATATATACATGAACTTCCTGGTTTTCCGGTAATGTTGGTTTCCTGTCAGCTTGAGTGACAATAAACCTCACTCAGATCCAGAATTCTGGTGTTGTACRCTTTAATTCCTTCTGCAAATCATTTTATTTAACAATTGTGTTTTTAATATCGACGTCAGTTTATTGAATACGAATTTTCTTACATTATGTTAATTAGGAATGTGTGATATGGCAAAAAATTCATTTCACGATATACATTATGATGAGTGGCGGTAACGATATATATCACGATATAAAACTTATAATAGAAAATAAATAAATCACACATTAATAGAGTGGAATAAATATGAATAGGTAAAAAAAACTAGACCTTAAAATCTCCTTTTTTAAGGGACACTTTAAAGTCTCCCATAAAAATCTAAATTTAAGGGAGATCTACCTGGTTAAATCATATATATCTCACACACACAATAAATTTAATGTAATAGATATCTGCATCCATTGGGTGTTGTGTTTGGAATCACCAGCTTCGTTTTAAGGTGGTAAAACAAATTGCTTGTATTTATTCCTTTATACACACTTTGCAGATTATTTTTTCTGCACTCCACATGTTTAATCTGTGCGCGCTCTGGCGGGGTGAYGATCATTATGGTCGCGCTTTGGAGTGAGCGCGCATTCAGCCGTGCGTCGTCACGCTATGACCGCAGGAGAAACGACGTCCAGACTGATTTTTGTGCGTCCCACCTGAGCACTGACTTCACCTGCACTGACAGTCGCCTCGCTGCGTGGAAATGAATGGAGGGCGAGCGACGTCGCCTCCCGTGTGTCGAGCCCTTCACMCATGCCATGGCACGCGCTCCTCCCGCAGCAGGCAGTGTGGTCGGTCGGCATCCGACCGGAGGACGCGCCGTCACGTAAATATGTAAACAGTTCGGCGTTCATTTTCACACACCCGAACCAGGTCTGGATAAGTTTTGTCCCCCTCTTCATTTGCGCTCTCAGCCAGGCTTCCTCTGTTTTGACTCCAGCCGGTTAAGTCATCAAAAAAAATTGCACGGTTGGCCGGTAGACTACAGATCTCTTTCATAGGACAAATTTATATCGTTTCTACCATATTGTTTATATAGCGCATTCCTAGTGTTAATGTTTCTTACCAACAAGGCCAAAGGAAAGGAACTTGTTCACAGAGGTAAGAGCAAGGCCAGTGATTGGTCCGGTGGTGTCCTCAGATCGAACTACTTCCAGGAAGGGTCTCAGGAAAAGGTTTGGTTCCACATCAGAGAGCTCTAAGAAACAGAAAAAACAGTCAGCCATACAAGCAGAAAAAAATCCTATGTTCTAACTTCTGAATTCATGTTTTATTGATTATGAACATCCGGTTGTGAGTTAACCAAAAGATGTGGGTTCCATGCCTATCAGTTTTATTAAAAAACAATTCTACAGCTTCTCTCTATCTTTAAATGTCTGGGTACATCAAGAGTGCAATGTTGTAAACACAACCAAGTAAAGAAAAAAWTTTTTGAAGTATTCCTCTACACTATACTGTATACGATGATTTTCAGTTTAAATACAGAAAATACTAGATTATCTTGTTTAGATTTGACAATCTTTCGTGAAAATTTGAATTGTTTCATTGAATTCCAGGTCCAAAAGAGGGTTAATTTTAGTCACTTTTTAAAATTTCACACAATGTAAAAGAAGAGATCAGTATAAGCTGCAATTCATGATCATCAGTGTTATCAAGCTTGACTGCTAAAAAGTACAGTCACAGGCTACAGCTGAAGAGTAAGAGTAAGAAATCCTAGCATTTTTACCCCTTAAAATGTCCTCCTATGAAATTCACAGACTTCAACTGTCTCCCTTTTTCTCAAAACAAAAATGGGCAGGTATAAATACAAAGCAGATAAAACAACAACTGGGAGAACTAGTGGACTGGTGACTTATGGCGTCTTGGGAAACTGCTTGTTACGGAAATACCACGAGGATTACAACTTCATAGGAGCAACTCCACTGCAGACCAGAAAAAACAACCTGAAAATCAAAAGCTAGAAGGAGCGTGTTAAGCTAAATTCCGAAAGCGCACGTGATCGCCACACATTACAGTGTGATATCCAATACCCCAATGCACTGTTTGCAAATCCAATGAAAAATAATTTCAACATTTACGGCCCCTTGATTAGAGGCAAGATTAMGCTAGGACTCTGCTTTCGAAAGAAAATCCTCTAGCCTTGCTGAATATTTTTATTTGATAAGTAAGAATGTTCAAGATATTTTGGCTTAACGGTGCAAATAGCACTTGAAAAAAAAAACGTGATTCACTGGCAGTTACACAAAATCTAAATTTATATTAATTTAAGAAATGTAAGCTCTCCTTTACTCTGGATAATAACCCAGATACATTCTTCATCACATAAACACTCTCTTCCTAGAACCACACCTGGATAAAATCTGTGACACTGTTGCACAAGGGGCCCAGGGGCTCTACTCTAGATATGTTGCCACCAGAGTTTACAAACTCTAYCAGAGATTCCAATTTACTGCCACCATGACATTAAACCACAGCAACATCTCTACTGATCTTTTTTGCATGCTCAAAGCTTTGTGGATTCTACACATTTTATCATGTCTAACAGGAAGCCCACTGCACTCCTAAYACACACCTAAAAAGACCTTGCCAAGACTATCCATGTTTTGGCTTGGTTTTACGTCATACTAGGGTCATACTCCTGTGTGAAGGGGTTCTAAGATTGTTTGATCTGTGAATCGGCTGCCAGAAAACTTTTAAAGAGGGTTTTACTCTCCCATTACTTTACAGTGCAAGAAGAAAAAAAAAATGTGTCAGAAAGGTGGAAGGAGGGTGCTCAAATTAATCTGTCAATAGATCCTGATGAAGACTTCATCAGAGGCGATCACCCTGTAAGTRCCGTTGCTCTGTTTCCAAAGACCACAGAATGGAAAACTCAATTGTGTTGTATTGATCTGGCTGGCCATCGGTGAACRCGGGGCTGACTGCAGCAGCCCGTCTGTGGCCACTACCAATCTTCTTAAATAAAGTCTAAATACAGGCTCTACACTTCAACTCAATCTCACAGGCTTGTGGAGAGAAATAACTAACGATGGCTGCWGTCGCCGTGAGGCAATCACTCTATAACAAGGTTGACCTTTGCCTGACATTGACTGAAAAAAAAAAGAAAAGAAAAAGAAGGATTTATGTACTCCATTCAGCTGCACACATTGCCATTTACCTGCTGTGTGTGCTGGGTACTATTCCCGATCTAAGAATGCATAAAGTCCAGCTCAAGTAAAGCTTAATTGGTAMAAAAGATTCGTGAAATGAGCCATTTACGATTCAGCATGAGCCTAATCCTATCTACCTTTTCCAAACTGGAGCTCCATCTTTCTGCTTGGYGCTTTAAAAAGAGTATCCATCCATGTGTGGATTACATCTCCAAATGACCCTAGCAAAGACGGGTGAGGCAGGGGTAAACCTTTACCCCCCTGGAGAGCATCTTAAGATGAGGCCAACATACTACAAGACAGGCGCAGTCTTTAACACATGCACATTTATTGGCAGTGGAGCAGAAAGGCTTAGAACACGAGAACAACAAGGGAAGATGAATGTGAGGTGCACACAAACCTTATTGTCCAGACAACCGGCCGGGTAAAAAATATACCCTCAAATGATGGAATACAAACCTTATCAACACTCAATAAGACCACCTTTATTTAAAGCATGCAATAATAAACTGAAGGTGCTTCAAAGCAGTCATGGAGGCCTGTGATTCTAAGAAAGTGTTAAAGAGCTTAGCATTAGAAGTAATATCAAGTTCTTTAAATCACAAATACATCAAAGTAGAGAGGATTACATTCTTATGGTTCAGTCAGTACAAGTCACTAAGTGGATAAGTCTGCTAACCGTAGCTGCCATAGTGAAGATATTGTTTAACAGCTGGAGGGTCAGCAGTCAGATCCCAAGCTCCTCTACATCAGTCAAGTGTCTTTGGGCCARACACCACACTTCTTCTTTCCATTCACTCATGAGGTGAAAGCATATGATGCAGACAATTATATTTAGAAGTGCTCTATAATTGGGAATCACATTGTTCTATAAGACAGCTTAAAGTAAGGAACTACACTGGTGCTGATTTGGGTTAGGTGGTATTATACAATACCATAATTTACTCATACACAATAATGCTATTACGCATCGTGAGAAAATAGATCCATATGAAGAGAGCAACAAATATAACAAAAACATATTTATCCAACTGTTTATATTTCCATTTCATTCTAGAATGGACACACAGATCTCACTGGTGACACAGTTGACAAACTTTCAGCAAAAGTGAACAAACTAAAATGACATCTTCTGAGAGGTGCAACACAGACAGGGTGAGGAAGCACAGCAAAGAAAAGGAGGGGTGAATCCCTTTTCTTGACCGATGCAGCGACCCAAAACCAAACACTGATGGTTATTGATCTGGACCTCTTCAGCTGCTAAAATTAAGAGTCAAGGTCCTTGGCTACAGTGCCAGGGCTCCTCGAGATGAGGACAAAAGCAACACTTTAACAAAACCAGGACTTCTAAATGAAATCCAGGGAGATTTCTGCTGTTCATCTGCTGAACAAAGTCTTGCTAGACAGCATTTTTATCTATCTGTCAGGAGAGGTTAGATAAATGTCAGGCTCCTTTCCTCCACATCTTTGTTTCATTCATTTCTTATTTCTGCCCCTGGTCCCTGTTTCCTTCTGAATGAAATTGACACATGTATGTAGAAGGGGCCAATTAGGAAGAAACAACACGGTAGCTCCATATGGTCATTTCGTGGGGCCACATTGGTATTTTATAGTTGCCTTGAACAAAGATCCCAGCACAACCTAAACAGGCAATTTGAAAAGCCCCGGAGAAATTAAAACTTTTCCGAATGCTTGAGAGGACTGCTGTAATGACTACTGCAAAAAAGCTTTTTCTTTATGGGTTCTATGGAATATAGTTTGCATTTTTATTTACACTAGACCTTTTATTCAGTTGTTGATGTAAAAAAAAAGGCAACGCTGTTGAAAACCAAAAGAGTTACAAGAACTTACAAACTCATATTGCTCAAATACCACATTAATTAAACACAATATACTCAATACTGCTTTTTACAAACAGCTACGGTTTTGTCCTGATGCATCTCAGTAATCCAGGTAAAAAATCAAAAAGAAAAAAATTGTGTATGTCTTCTGGACAGATTTTATTAGAGAAGCTACGGTTTTAATAACCTCTCACCTAACAACTGTTATTTCTCACAAAGTAATGACTTTTTTTGTACCCTGATATGTTTCATTTCATTATTGTATGCAATACTATATAT